CCATCTCTGTTCCATTTTCAGGGTGCTTGTAAAAAAAAATTAATAAAAACGTTACTTTGGTTGGCTCATTCATGCTGCAGTGGGATGAACACAGCCACTGGAGTCAAGCAGGGTTAAGTCTTAGCTTTGCTCCCTTGTAGCTGTGTGATTTGGGACATGTTACTTTACTGCTCTAGACCCAATTTATAAAGTGAGAATAATATCACTTTCTTTTATGGCTTGTTGTGAAGATTAAATGATTTAAACACATAAGAGCTCAAAATAGGACTTGGCATGCAACAAGGACCCAATAAATGCTAACTCTTACTTTGTTATTATGAAGCAGATCCATATACCTCACCTTATTTAACTATCTTACGAAAATTGTGTAAGATTTCCTTCCTCCAAAGCAGTCTCTGGGCACTTGGATTTAATAAGTGGGGGAGGGGGCAGGGGTAATATTTCCTTCAATAAAGCAATCATGTAAGTAAAACTTCTGTGGCCCATCCCAGAATGCAGGCCACTCGTCCCATCTCCCACAAAGACATTATTTCTCTCTACTACCCTGCGTGGCTATAAGGGGAATTGAGAACAGCAGTATTTTGATACTTGAAATGTCTCATCATTGCTTCAGATTTTCATGTCTACCTGGTGACAGCTGCCTCAAAGCAGAACTTTCACCTTAAAACTGTGTTGACTGTTGTGGGAACAGTTACAGCAAGCACTACATGTATAAATGTTTTCAAGTTAAAGTGATTCAAAATCACCTCCCACTCTCTTAGATGGGACATAAGAGAGGATGGGACTGAGAACTGAAACTATAGAAGGGTCCCACAAAGGGGCTGTGGAATGAAAACATTCAAGAAACGGAGATGCTTCTCCCTAGAGACTTGTGTATGTCTAGGACGACAGGGGTAACTCTGCCATTTGGAGATGAGCCCAGACTGAACGCATACTTTATATCACTTAATGATCTTTTAGGAAATCACTATTTAAGTAGTTCTAACATCAAAGGATCAGTGGCAATGGAATATATACTTTGGGACAACCCCTTTCTTTTAAATATTCCATGGAGTTAAAAGTAACTGATTTTGGAAGCTAAGGTATCAAAAGAAGTTGTTATTACAACCACATGCGATGAAAATAAATTTATTTTATAATCATTTGCTGGTCTGAAATTTCTAAAGATATTTTGCCTCTTGGTTTTGGTAAAAGAAGTTGTATCACTGCATATTTTGTCTCCTTCCTACATGACTTCCTAACTAATTACATTATGCAGATAAAATGGGTCATGACAATAAAAAAAAAAAAAGAGGAATCTATTTAAACTGAGATTTTCATCCTGAAACAAGTGAATGACACTACTCTTGGTTTGACTACTGAGAGGGGCAATGTTACCAGCAATTCTTGATAAAGTGAGACAAATGAGAATAGAAGGGATGCTCAAATGTCTCTGAGCAGCACCAGGCAGGACCCATTAGGATTTTCTGGATTTTAGTTGCCCATGACCCTAAAGGTAGAGAATGTGCCTTTCATCTTCACATCACCCAGGGAGGCTCAGACCTTGCAAAGAATGTTAGTTAGGATTTGGGAGCTGTAAGATCTGACACCATTTAGTCTAATCCGCTACCTTACCAACGGGGAAGCCGAGGGCCAGAGAAATGAGAAACAGTCCTTATGATTGCTCTAGAAGAATGGAGGGTTAGAACCTGGTTTCCTGACTTCTGATCCCATTCTTTAAACATTCTTATCTAAGCTGACCATGTGTTCCAGTCTGTCAGGGATGGTTCTGGTTTATGCCTATTGTCCTAGCTGACTTATTAGAGTCCCATTTCATTGTCATAAATGTGTCGGCATGGGTGAAAAATTTTAAGGTTACCATAGTTATATAATATTGTGCTCTCTTCCCATAAGTAAATAAGGGAAGAGAGTAGAAATGCTGGTTCTCCTAGACCTCGGGTAATCTGAGGACTGCTCTGCCCAAGGCATGACACAATTTCAGAACAGTGTACATTATGGAGATAAAGAGTATTTACAAAAATAAAGGGTCTGAATTGGTACAATCACCCTCCTCTACTGCCTATTATCCTCCTCTCCTGCGGGGGGTGGGGGTGGGGGTGGGGTGGAGTGGAGGGTTCTTCTGAGCTGGCACCAGCTTCCTCAACTTCCTGGTTTCTGGCACTGCCACTTGGCTGCTAGTGAGAAAGGTGAGATTTCAATGTAATGTACTCACACGGCATATTTACAGAGAACTGTTGCTAGATTAAATGAGACACGTTTGCATGGTGATATACATTCCCGCTGTGAAATTACGAGTGTCTGAGCTGGTGAAGTCGGTGGCAGTGATGAGGTGAGATCACGGGAGGGTTGAAGGAAACTTTTTTGTGTTTGCATCGCACTCTGCGTGCCTCCCCCTGCCAGCCTCTCTCCTCCCATTTGGTCATGTTTCTCTCTGCACCAAGTCAATAGCAACATACTTTTACATGGCATTGTATCCCCAATTATGTAAAAAAAAAAAATCATCATAGATATAATATTCGATATGTATAATTGCACTTTACAGACTTTTTTTTTTCAAGACCAGCTCTTTCTGTATGTTAACATATTAATGTGTTATCATTCATGAGTAAATATAACAGTATTGATTCTGGAGGTAATACATGTCGTGGAAAGAGGTAGGAGGTGGTTGGAGGTAGGGAACTCGTACTGGTCTATACACCTCTAGTTGGTTCCTTTGTCACCAAGGGCACCCGTATATCTGGATGTCCGGGGGCAGGTAGCCTCTTCGTGTCAGCTCTATGCCTTCTACAGCTTCGATTATTTGTCGTGACTTGATAAAGACCTATGACTCCCTTCTTGTGTGTCCACCTCTTCACCTGAGACCATGCCATCGCCTGGACGGGCGAAGGAGAGGGCATGTGCCTTCAGATCTTGTTTCCTGGCTGACGGCTTTAGGGAATGGTCTCTGAGAACACAGTACTTTTAAGAGGCTGGTCTGAAGCAGAGCTAACTGGTTCAAAGAGCAAGGAAGCCCTTGACCTTGGCTTCATTAGCTCCATTCTTTTACCTACTGAGCTCGCCACCACCAACATTATACCACTTGAGAGCACAGATCATTATGGCGTAGGTCGTGGCACATCTGTATTTACTTGGTTTGAGAGTAGCTCTGACAGTAAGCCAGTTTTCTCTATTGATTAGCTCCTGCAAATGAGAACAACAACAAACACACCTACTTATGAGTCAAATCAGGCCAAGGGGAAAGGAGGAAGGATTAACGATGAGGTGAAACCATCAGCCTCCAATCGCATTTGGGAATCAAAAGAGGAATAGAAATTCCAAATGGTATTTGTTTTAAATAATGAGAAAAAGAGAGAGCAGGAAAAAAAAAAAAAAACCAACCCATCACACACCTTTTGTACTTTTGTATCTGAAGAGGCAGGCAGGGTAATATGATTCTTGCCTTGAGGTCAAGCTTCAGTAAACTCACCTCCTCTGGTCTGGAGTGGCTGCTGGCCATTATGCGAGCCGGAAATATACTCACAGGAAGAGCAAGAGAATGAAGAAACTGAACTGGGGGCGCGGGGCAGCTGCTAAATTTAGCAAGGGTAAAGCTAGAGAAGAAAGGGTGAGAGAAAACGAGCAGGGAGCCGTCAAGAAATGCTCGTTTATTCCACATCATGGAAGCGGAAGCGAGGGGACCTGCCGCGAAACACTTGGTACAAGAAAGAGATGCGGCTGCCTGGAGTCAGGCTCTCTTTTGTGAAGTGTTAACTGAGAAAACAAATAACTTCTCATTTTTTAAAATTTGCCAACAACAAAACAAAAATATTAGCCTTGCTCTTGGTGGTGATCTATCAATTTCAGGAAATACTCCAAGGGACCAGGGTTTGAGGCCCCTAGTAATCTGCTTCTAAGAAAAAGCACAAGTTTAAAAGTATTCCTTTGTGTCCCCACGTCTGTCGTCTAACCAAGCTGGGCAGGGACACAGGGACATAACGCTTCTCGGAGGCACTATGCATCACTGTATGATGGCATGATGCACCAGTAAGATTTGTATACCCTATTTCTGTATCCAAACACTTGATTTGTAACTACATCCAGGGCCACAATTCGATTCTGGTCTTTTGTTCTGTTTTCTACCAATGGTTTTATGATGACTGTGACTCACAGGAGATGAGCAGCACCTGGAAAGCTGAAATAAGCACTTAACACTGAGTACACTGTAAGAAACCACCATTAGTACATGAAGAGGAACCCCCTGGCTCACTACAGAGTTCACAGAGTTTGGGTCTCATTTTCTCCCCGCAGCTCGTATTACCCTCTGCTCACAACAACTCAGTGACTCCCCATTACTGTCCTCCATCAAGGTCCTCCACATTCTGGTTCCAATCTAACCTCCTTGGACTAGCTTTGCAAAGGCAAAATGTTGATTTTTAAACAGGGTGATTGTCATAGGTATATTTAGTTTATTCTCTCTATTTGGGACATGTTTGAAATTTTTCAAAACAAAAGATTAAGGTCAGGGCGGGGTGGGGGGGGTGGACAGAGATAAGCTCTACAACCCAAGTCACCTGACTGCTCTCTATTTCAAGGACTTCATCCCATGTCATTCTCTCTGCCTGGAATGTTCTTCATTTCATCCCTGCTTATTAAAATCCTGCTGGACCATCAAGGAATCCTCTAGAGCCACCTCCTTCATGAAGCCGACCCTGCCGCCTGCACCTGGATGTAATTCCCCTTCTACTACTACCTTTTATAGTGCTTCCTATTATAGTTATGCTCTGACACTTATGTGTATATCTATCTCATATCTTCACTTAGATTGTGAGTTGCAAAGAGTCAAGAGTATATCTTATTCATCTTGGCATTTCCCCCAGGATCTTATACATAATAAGCACGCAATAAATCGTTTGTTGAGTGAAAAATGAATCGCATGATGAAGAACAATTTATCAAATTAAGAGTGAAAACTCTTTGATATGTCTAAGTCTCAGGCAAGGAAAGAGAAGCCTCTTCGGTTACCTTCTTCGTGGTTCTGATGCAGTATGACTTCCGGCTGTGTGTGGATAGAGTTTCCGGGGTGGAAAAATGGTGAAAAAAGAATCCGAGGTTTCCTCTGCTTCAGAATATGCTGAAGAAGTTCATAGAGCACATCACCTGTAAAGAAAGAGGAAAGAGAAATAGAGAAACTGGAAATATTTCATTCAACTATTTATTTAGCTTTGACTCTATGCATGGCACTGCCTTAAGGACACAATGTCATGTGAGCAAGATAGGCACGCTACCTACTCTCATGGGGCTTACAGGGGACAGGAAGTGCCACTTGGAATTCAAGAAGGTCAGAGCCATGTGAAAAACAAAAAACAAAAAACAAAAAACCACCCAACCAAGAGGCTTTTCTACCCACTCCAGTTCCAGGCAGGATAAGAACATAAAAAAATTCACTAGTCTGGTCAGAGGTGCTAAGTACTGAAGATACCCCACAGGGAACTGGCACTTTCTGGGATGTTTTCCTCCTTTAAAAATACATTGCAGGCACTGCTCCAAGGTTCTATAATCTCCAGAAAATCATCTTTACATGTCAGCCCTTTGCAGAGGATGGTGGGACTGGTTTGAACTGGGGCCCTCGGTTCTGATATATTTGGTATTTCAAGTGTCCACTGAGTAGTTAATTAGAGAAAAAGACCTGTCATGATCTTATCCCACCCCTTTGGCTTACATCCAAGTTCAAAATGCAGGTGGGTGCCTCCAAACCCCTTAGGGGTGATTAATCTTTAAAATACCATAGGCTTTTGACTGTCCCGCCACGCCCTTCCACACACAGATATGCAGTCAGCATCTGTAGCAAACAATGGGCTTTTATCTCTAATTTTAGCCATTTTTAACAGATTCTTTAATTAACAACTTAATTTAACTGCATATTTTGGGCTGTAGATATGGCTAAATTATTCTTTTTCTTTTAAACTCAGCTTGAACCTGAGAAACACTCCATGTTAATTTCTTTCTTTCTGCAAACTTCTACTCCTTTTCCATTTGTACCAAATAAAGCTGCATAATATTCTATTCTAAGGGATTCCTGAGGTCCCTTGTCTTTGCTTTGATTTTGTTTCTTCCTCTGTCTTTGAATTTTCGTTGTTATTAATATAACTTATTGCCACTATTTACTATTATGATGAAATAAAGCAAAAGACTTTTTAAAGAGCTGAAGACACCTTGTCACTGGGTAGTTCCTTTAATGACATGGGCGAAAAGTAGCAGAGGTGTTCTGGATCAGACTTTTACAAATGTTCTGTATAAGGTAGAACTGTGGCACACACGTCTGTTTTGGGGCTGGGAAGACTTTGGAGATCATGGAATCCAGACCTAGTAGTCATGGTGAAGCTGTCTCTGAAGAGAGGAGGATACAGAGCCTGAAATACAGTCCTATTTTAATGATTTACATTTTAATCGCTTACAAAAATAAGTCCCTAATCAACATTTTGTTTGTTTTGGTTTAGTGTAATGTCCTCCTGAACTTTTCTTAATTTGCATGGCCTCACACTTGCTGGGTTTTATCCTGTGGGCTTGAGTGATGCTTTATTTCGGTAGTATGAAGAAGAGAAAACGAAAACACTAAAAAATGTGTTCCTGATGATTACTATTACTAAAAAAAAAATGGTCAGTAATTAGTGTATCCATTTTGGAAGGGAAGGCCAGGAAATATAAATTTAGTGTCTGTGAGAGTGTTCAACTTTGTTCGTTTAGAGAGGCATGCTGACGTGGCAGGAAGGCACAGATTGCAGACACAGGCTCCTCGGGCTGGAGTGCCAGCTCGTCCGCCCAGGTGACCTTGAGCAAGTCCCTGAACTTCTCTGCAAAATGCCAACAACAACACCCACCTCAGAAGTTTCCTGTGAGGATTAAATGAGGGAAATGTCAAGAAGCACCTAGAGCAGGATCTGGTGGGTTGTTACACCCTAACTTCTTCCTGAAGGCCTCTTCTGGGGCTGGAGAAACTCCGAGGAGTGGTGGCTGAAGACTGAGCTGGAGCATGGGCAGGTCATTTTCTTGGCTGTGTTACCATTTCTCCACATGCATGCAGAGAGTGAGGTGATAAAGCGGAACAGGAAGAGGCTCGCACTGGAGTCAGACCTGTGCCTTTAACACTTCTAGGCTTCAGTTCCCTCTTCCATACAATGGCCTGTTCACAGCATCTACCTCATAGGATTATTGCAGGGTTCCCTAACCCCTAGGCCACGGAAACTGTAGAGCCAGTGAAGCTTCATCTGTATTTGCAGTCGCTGCCCCTTCCCCACCCCCCCGCCATGCTAGCGCTGGCATTAGATTCTCATAGGAGCAGGGGTCCCTGGTACCAAAAAAGTTGGGGACTGCTGGATTATTGAAAGGAGTCGGTGAGGTACTCCATGTAACGAGCTCATCCCGGCATTGGGCAAACGGTAAGAACCCAGGAGACACTAGCTCTTGCTGTGACCACCTCTATCGCCACTGCCACCAGTATTATTAAAGTGGTTTAGGACAGACATGTAGGCCTCTATGGAGGTCTCACATATCAGACAAAGGAGAACTGTCTGGGTCATAATCAGTGCTACGTTCCCCTTCCACAAAGGGCAAAGGTTAACTGAGGCCATTCGCACATTCTTGGCCTCTCTTCATACCTCACCCTGGCCTGGTGGGCTAAGCCCACAGTGGGGCTGACATGTGCTCTGCCTCAGACTTTCCCAGGTCTTCTGTACTGGCTCTCTTCAGCCTCTCATTCCAAAGCTGGCAAAGGGAGCCAGGCGTCTCTGAGTGTGCAGGGGAAAGCAAGGGGAGGAGCAAATCGAGGGGAGCTCTGCCAGTTCCTTACCTAAACCGTAGGTCTATTGTGAGAACTAGTGAGATAACATTCATTAGCACCACCTGTGACAGCTGGCTAATGGGTGGGAGAAAAGGCCACGGTCCCAGGTTCCAGGCCAGGAAAGAACTTAACTCTAAGGCCATAGCTAGATCAATTTATTCACAGACAAGTTTCCTCAGCAACCAGGGGGCTCAGCTGGGGAATGTGGCTGGCTTAGCACAAATGTGTCACCACTGTGGGGGGGAAAAACAACTTACTGTGCATGTGCTGTGTGTGTACAACTGGCGGTAATGGTGTGTGCCTGATAACAGCTTGGAACCTTAGACCTAGAGAAGATTCTAGAGGTCTCTCATATCGACTTGAACTCGTGTTTAGTAAAAGTCCCACGCCTCCGACTTCCTCTGCCAAGAAGTAGCTTTGGCGGACTACTTCCAGGGATGGGCAGCGGGCCACAACATAAGCAAAGCATTTTTGGATTGCTCTAGTTGATAGAAAGTTCTGTTGAGTTGGAACCTGGCCCCTCCTATAATCTCATATACTTCGGTACTTAGTTTTGGCTTCTGGAGCAGCACAGAACATGTGTCCTGTCTACAACAGTTTTCTAAATAAAGACGGCCTCCCATCCTCTTCCACCTCAACCGTCCCCTAACTCCAACACCCAGCCTATTCTCTTGGCACATTCTTAAAATGTTCAAATAGGCAGGAGCTCATATCTAAAAAGCAGTATTAGCAAAAAGGTCTCTGGAATAAAGAAGATATTTTAAAATGTGATATTTATTTGCTTGCTAAAAATAAAGAGTATGAGCCATAGCACCCTATATCTAACTTAGCTAATGATCACTGGCTTGAATTCAAAAGGCACTTTTCGGAAAATTCTTGGCCCATTCAATTCTTGATAAATCTTCTCGGTCTTCCCAGAAAAGAAATAACTAGGACTAACTGTAAAAGGTGTTTCTAGCTTTTGTTGGTTCCTCCATATATCTGCATGCATACTGTATGGTTTATGCATACATATGCACATACAGAGGGAATTTGCCACGAAGCTAGTGAGTTTTAGGGGTCTTTATTTGCATAGTCCCCTGGAAGGAGCCCTGGAATTATTTGCATCCCCCAAATTATAAACTTCAGGGCCCATGAAAACCCAGATGCACACACATGACACATGCAGAACTTACATGCATGCACATACATGTGTGTGCAAACGCAAACACATATTAAAAAAACCTACAAACCGAATGCACATACAATTTTGCACTGGTGATTTGGACTTGAAAGTTCAGGCATCTACTTTGAGAAGCCCAAAGTCTATTATTTTATTTGCAATTTGTTTCAAGTGGATAGTAGAGGGAGTGAACAAAACCATTGCAAGTTGCTTATCAATTTTACCAGTGTCCGAAGACCAAGAACATACAGATGCTGTTTAAAGAGTTAAATTTATCTAAGTTTCTTTACTTTTAGTGGAAAAAGCTTGGGCTCTACAGCAATAAAGCCCCAAGTTTGAATCCAGTTTCCTCTATTTGTCAGTTGCATGCCTTAGGTAAACTATTTTTCTTCTTTGAGCTTTAGTTCAAGGTTTCAAGAGTCTTTGTGTCAAATGAGAATAATGCCACAGACTTGGCCAGGCTGTTATGAAGATCAATTGAGATGATGTGAGCAAACATCAGCTCATGTATGATTTGCTCTCACATGTGCTCAATAGATGATACCCCTTGCGATTACGGTAATTATTAACAGACGTGTCTCAAAAAAATCTGGAAACTATTTGCTTTGCTTCAACACTTTTGTATTAAAAAAATGCTTTTGAATTTAAAGCACATGAATAAGTTTAATAAAGTCACATTCATAAATATGGAATTTTTTTTTCCCAGTTGACGTCATTTCATACAGACATTTCTAGTTCATAGTCTCTCTAGTTCATGGCTCTATCTTCCACCTCTTTCTATGGGTTTCTTCCCTTTAGCATTTAAGCAGTTTCAAGTTTTTCCTGTGTTCTACACACACACACACCTTTGTCCACATCTTCCCCTCCAGCAGGTAGGTATTCCTGATTCTCTCCTCCAATAGCGATCTAATGTCTCTAAGGAGCTGTCCAAATCTGTTATCGCCTCCCCCTCTACCCGACTCCTCAGGGCCCTTCATTCTGGTCTCCACTCTGATTCTTCTCTAAACTGCTCTTGCTTAGGCCCCTTCCCTCCTGTCAAACCCAAAGGGCACTGGTGGGTACCTGGGGACTTACCTGCCTTCTTAGCAGCATTCGTCACCAGGAATCACTACCTCCCTCCTCTCAGAACACTCCATGGCTTCAGAGATTCTGACTTTT